ACAGAAGCAGTAATGTTCAAACTGCATGTTTGTATGAAATAAAAACATTAAATTAAACACCAATGATTAAATTACTAGAGCATGTGCTATATTGTGAATATGCAATATAAACATGCAAATACAGATCACAATATAGCATGACCTTGAGTTCCTTGTTGCTGTATTAAGAAGAGGGTTTTTTTTATTAAAATGTTAATGATATAAATTTGTGTACCTTAAAAACAAATAAATCAATGAATGGCAATCAAGGCAGTGTTATTTTTGCATCATTGAGCTACTATTATAGTTTTTAAAAAGATATTTTGAATTACTTTTTTAAAACTATGTTTTTTATTGTAATTGTTGTTAAAAGTCGATTCATTTTGTTGTGTTTTTTTGTCATTTTTATTATAGTTTATGTCTATACAATTATTTAAAATAAATTTTATTTCAGTTTTAGTTATTTTAGTACAAGTTGAACTAAATGAAAATAAGAAATGTTGCTTTGGCAACTAGCTGAAATTAAATAAACGCAAGTAATTACATTTTTTATTTCAGTTAAGTTTCAGTGTAAAAAAAAAAAATGGTTGTGGTTTTAGTTTTGGTTTTAATTTACTTTAATAACCCTGATTCAAGGGGTGGCAAAAAGGAGGTTCTGAGAACGACAAGAAAAACATTGAAATAAACTAGTAAAATAATAAAAGAAATGTGAACATTTACAGCTATGTATTATATTATATTACTGAATTATATGACTTCCGCTCCACTCAGAAGTCCATATGAGGGAGCACTGTTGGACCAATGAAAAAATAATGGCGAAATTAGTTTTTTTTATGTTAAAACATGATATTTATTTTCACAGAATTGTGTTCACGTGACAATGCTCTTGGTAATCCCCATGAGGCGGTCATAAACAACACTTTAGAAATGACTTACTCTCCTCAATAAACCTCAGTGATCATCACTGCCTCCTTTAAAACACAACCACAACACCAAACACCACAGCACAATCCAACCTACATCAGATTAGATTGCTTCAAAGAAAGGGGAAGAGAAAGCAAAATCAAATGAATACAGACACAATCCACAGTCCTTCCTCCCATCTCTCCATACAAACCGTCTACTCATCAAATCATCCACAAGCCATCTGACAACTTTTACTTCACAAAAAACAGTTTCTGATGATTTTTTCAGTGGTTTTATATACTACAGAACTCAATATATACACTATAATAAAATAAAATTGATCAAAAGTGACAGTAAAGACATTTATAATGTTACAAAATATTTCTATTTCAATACATCTTTTAAACTTTAGATTAATTAAAGAATCATGAAAAATGTATCAGTTTTCCACAAAAATAGCAAGCAGTACAACTGCTTTCAACATTGATAATAATCAGAAATGTTTCTTGAGCAGCAAATCAGCATATCAGAATGATTTCTGAAGGATCATGTGACACTGAAGACTGGAGTAATGATGCTGAAAATTCAGCTTTGCTTCACAGGAATAAATTACATTTTGAAATCTATTCAAATAGAAAACCGTCCTTTTAATTGTAATAATATTTCAGAATATTACCGTTTTTACTGTACCCCAAACCTCTGAATGGTAGTGTAAGTCTTTGCATTAAACTATCAAAATGAATTTATCAGTAACAAAATCTTCTAGTTAAAAAGAAAGACATGAAGCTGCTGGTCATGAATATATGCAAAAATGTGGACTAATGACTAAGGAATCATGAGACAAAAAAATTAATTAGCAAAAAAATTATGCAAAATACCGTTTCATGGCCAGTAAGAGATATTTAACCACCATTGGCATGTGTTTAAAACTTTACTACATAATCTGGTTTTGAGGAATGAGAATAACACCAATAAAAAAAAAATACTGGACTTGGCTTGAAATCAAGTATAGGAAGGGCAAAGGAGGTTTCAACGACAAGAAAAAACTTTGAAATAAAATAGTAAAATAATAAAAGTAGGTGTGGGCAAACATTTACAGCTACGCATTATATTATTGAATTTTTACACGACAAATAAAAAGTGTCAGCTGACTTCCGCACCACTCAGAAGTCCATAGAGAGGGAGCGTTGTTGGACAGGGTTGGCATGATTACGTACCATCATGACGTTGCGTCCACGGGTGATAAAATCATTGTAGCCGATCTCCTCCATCACCCGTTCCTCCAGCCCCAGCTCCTCATCTTCCAGTGCCTCTCTCAGACTCTGGGCGCTGTAAGCGTGAGCGCGCGGGTCGTGCGTGAAAGGGTGCGAGTGGGAGCTGCTCCTGCGTCCGTGGAAGCTGCCCCAGCCTCTGGCTCCAACATCCGTACTCATGTCATCAGAGTCGTGCGAGAGATGATGCGCTCTGCTTGCCATGACGATGGAGGCGGCGCTGCTCGGAGCGCCACAGTGATGCTCGTGGACACAGCGGGACATGCTGGAGGAGCGGCGGAGTTTCTGCAGACTCTCCAGCTCCTCCGACAGATCCTCCGGCAGCTCCGCTTCCCGCATGGAGAAGAGCTCGTACTGAGGAGGCTCCAGCACCTCCTGCGTCTCTGCAGCGCTGAATAAACCCTTACGGCTCAAAACCTGCGGCAGACAAATACACATTAGCAAGGTCACATTTTCACGCATGTTAAATATTAGTATCATCACATGTATCATGTAACAAATATTAGGGTTTAAATCCTTAAAGTGAGTGCACAATGGCATTCACAACCCATTCTACTTTTGTAATTTCATGCATTTCTAATTTTTTTTTAAGTTAAGAGGGATATGATTTTTGGACAATCTAATTACATTTTGATAAGAGATTGCAAAGAACATTTTTGTAAAAAGTTTAAATAAAATGCTTAATGAACATGCACAATGACGACTGGATTTGTGCATTAAATATGTCAATTGAGAACTTTTAAATTATTCTTTAATGAATTATTAATTTTAATGAATGGCATTTTGTCATTATTATTCATGCTGTCATGTAAGGCTGCTTAGTCCCGGCAAAAATCATACTCGTGATTATTTTGGTCAATATTGAGATCACTATTATCTACCCCAGTTACTTATTGAAATATCATATTTATTGAACATAAAAAAAGGATTTGTTTAAAAAACAAATCAAATGAAAATGAAACTAGTAAATAAAATACATAATTTTATATATACACATGAACATAGACATACTGTACATACATATATATATATATATAATTATAAAAAGATAAATATAAAAAAAAGTTAGAAACTGTA